CATAGCTAAACGTTGTAAAATTGCATTATGATATATATTATGGGAATAGGTACTGATCGTCTGATCGATATTCAGTCGGYTCTGCGTATATGTATATTTAATTTTGGATAACMGTTTACGTGTTACACTACCTACCATAAACTATAATCGATTGCATGTCTAGATTTTTATTAAGTTTTAAAAAATTAAAAAGTCTAAGTTTACCTGAGCACGTTCACTATAAGGATCAATAATTTTCAAAAACAGGGTAAGAATTTAATTACAGCTGTATAAATATTTAAGCAACTTGCTTACCTATATAATATATATGATATATCTATATACTAAATTACAACATATCTAGTATATATTATATATACATAACTCAATATATTCTCGACAATTATACAATTACATAACACATCGATTGTTGATACGTAACCTTACGTTATTTTCACTATATAGAAAGTATTATATGCCAATGCCAGTAGTAATAATATYAGTATCCTATACTAGTTTTCCTCGGATGAGAGTAATCAATAATGCATCAATTTGTAATTTTACAAAATTTGATTGCGAAAACGTTCATCATAAAAATGGTAGTTGTTGATATGTGCATCTTATTATGGTTTTAATTCTAAAAATCAAAATATTTATAACTTTTTTTTTTAAAATGGGTGTGTAAAAAAAATTTATAATACATCCATCTAAAATATAATTTTCATCAATTGCGCATATTTTATAATTACACAATGTAAATGGTATAATTCAATGATCTAGTATAAGAAAATAAATACTAGTTTCTCTATTCGAACTATAAGTTTGACTTTCGAGTATATAATATTATGTTAAATATAGTTGCTTACATATATATATATATTTATATAATTAATAATTCATTGTTTATCCTCTATGAATTCAAAAACTACTGGACCATTTCCAATAAAAGTTACATCAATAGATTTCTTGAGACTCAGAAAATATGTATATCTTATTTTTNATATACATTACATATACTATTTTTAATTATAGAAATCATGAACACTAATAGAATTAGAAATATTAATTAATTTTAAATAAAAATATCTCTGATAAAATGTTTTACCTACTATATTTTGCATAGGTAGTGCATAACTAGTAATTAAACAGCTTATGATGTGTTTAGACTTTTATGGTAATTATCTACGCTACGATTAAAGAAAAATGACAAGATATTTTAATTCGTGGGTAGGTTATACTAGGTGCTACCTTATACTATTAAGTTCAATGCGGGACGATAAATGTTATTTATTTATATACTCGTATATATTACATTGATGTAATGAATAATGATGTGTGGGTTTTTTTACTTAAAATAGTAAAAATCCAAAAAGATAGTTTAAGAGTTTTTAAGTTCAAATCTTAACGAAATTCGACAAAATCATGAAAATGTATAAATTTTTTCAAATTAATAGCTTTAAAATTTTCAATAAGAATTCTCATTTTTTAGGTAGGTACACTCGAAATCTACTCTAGAGCAATGTGAAATTTTAGTTTCTTGTTAGATTCCTTAATTGTATATTTTAAACTAAAACTAGAACACTGACCAATATAAATCTACAAGTTAATCATATCTTTTTTGTTTTAGTACCTTGTGTTTCCGTCCCGATTAGTGTAATCGTCCAAAACGGCTCTAAATTCCTCGACAATTTTATACGTGCCTGGTTGATCCCTAGATAAATTGTGCTTGAGAAATACATATGTATAATTGTCGTCGACGATATTCGGATGGATCACTGATTCATCTTTAAAACTGATGTCTTCTATAATGTATGGCAAAGCGTCTATTCGGAATCCATCAATTCCAATATCCAGCCAAAATCGTAGTACGTTCTAAATAAATCCAATGTTAAGAGGCTGATAGGGTGCGTGAATAACACAATTTTTCTATACAAATTTAATAGACAGTACCTTCATTTCTTCTAATAGAGCTGGAGAGTTGTAATTTAAATCCGGTTGTTTGATCGTAAACTGATGCAAATAGTATTGTCCCCTTTCAGCAGACCATTCCCAAGCACTTCCGTCAAAATTGTTTCGCTTAAGGCAAATAGTTTTAATATAATACATGRACAATGTTATAAGTGATTTTACATTTTTACATTTRACATTATAAGTGAGTAAAAATTTTAAATTCGAAATGGCCGCTGGACTCGTAGAAAATGTCTTGAATTTAGCAGTGAATTAATAATATAGAGACTCGATGTCCTCAATCATCACACTCAAGAATATTCAGTGCAATAATGAGTATGGTATAACGTAAAACTAATTTATTGTTTAGTTAATTTTCTCACCCAATTATTTGGAGGTGCTCTGGTACCGTTTTCGTCTACTTTTCCGTCTAGCCACACATAGTATTCGGTGTAGGGATCGATTTTTTTGACTGATTTTTGAAACCACTCATGTTCATCACTTGAATGATTGGGCACAAAATCCAATAGAATACGAACTCCTAAATCAAGTGTCCAAACGCGTTTTATGACCGTATATRTTGTGTAACTTGTATTTACGGTTATTTTGTCACAAGTGAATAAATTAATATACCGAGTGATTTAAGTTTTCTCTGAAGTGATAAAAAGTCTTCCATTGTTCCGTAGGTGCTATCGATGCTTACAAAATCGGAAATGTCGTAACCAAAATCAGCTAGCGGAGATTTGAATATTGGTGACAACCAAATGGCTCCAATACCTGTTTCTTGAAAATGTTCAGCCATTTCTTCTATACCTATATAAAACAAAATAAATTGATAGAATTTATTATAAATTGTAAAATTTTAGCATACAGCATCTACTGTAAAATTATGGTTTGCCATAAAACAAAATACGCTGYTCTAAAATGTAAGTCACWTTGTCATATATTTGTACAAAGTATCAAATATAAYATGTTTCATTAAACCATTATTAATTGAATGTTTAAAACAMCTATGAACCTGCAGCATAAGACCTATGAACGGAACTGATTCGCACGTAGGTACGATAAGTCTTATATATGTTATATATTTATGTGTATAAATATCATCTGATGTTACCTATGATATTATTTAAGTATAAAAAACGTATTGATGTACACTTATACAATTACCTTTGAGGTCTCCAATGCCGTCACCGTTGCTGTCTTTAAACGATCTTGGGTACACTTGATAAATGACAGCAGTCTGCCACCAATCCAATTTTGCAGGTTCTAGAGATGTCAACGTATTACTTACAGTATATTATAATATATAAAATAAAAATAGGTACTAAATTTGAAAACGAAAAACTTCTTACCAGCATTTGCACTGAACGCGATTGTTATGAAAACGACAATGAAGCAAAGGTACGTCATACTGTTAGGACTCGTGGGCGATCGTCTGGCGACTATTGTAGTATTGTGTGAATTTTCAGGTATTTGTATGATTTAATAATTTTGCCCATGACCTTACCAGTGCGCTAAAAATATTAGGTAGGTACCAATTTAATTATTCACTCGGCTGTCATACTGTAATAATGGACTTGGAACGACAAGAGGCGTAAGTGGCGCGCACACGAAGCGTGAAATCGGTCAAGAATCAAGTGTTTGCGTTCAAATTGAGTTACGAACTCAATACCAAATAATTACGGGTTGGCCAAACAATAAACACGTG